ACTGCAGCATCCTGAACCTCCACATTATAATCACTCAGATGGTATTACCAAAGCAAGCATATGAATATGATCCTGAGGGAGCTGCGAGGGTATTATGCAGGGATGCTTGCACACACACACACACACACACACACACACACACACACACACACACACACACACACACACACACACACACACACACACACACACACACACACAGACCCACACACACTTTCCCAAGGTTAAACAAATGCCAAATACGATCTTCCCAACAAGAGATAACCAGTCGCTCATGAGGCAGGTCACTCCTGAGGGCCGGCGACCCTCACGCATCAGCACAGCACACACACACACACACACACACACACACACACACACACACACACACACACACACACACACACACACACACACACACACACCTGTCTGTAACACAGCAATATGCCAGCAGTACCATATGAGGGACCCGGGCAGTTGCATATTGTGCCAAGGTTGCATGCTGTAAGCGAATTTCCAAGGCACAGGCAGTGGAAGCTTTTCCAGGAAATGTGTGAAACCCAAGGTGTGAGAGTGTATTGTTCAGAGTGTTGTATTTGTACACAAATGTGCCTCTAAATGTTTTTCTGAGGGTGTTTTTCTCACCTCAAACAGTGATATGATTTAAAAGGAGGAGTTCCTTATTTATACTCATAAATGATTTGACTTCAAACACCTCCTGTCGCAGATGATGATGCTGGCCAAATATAATTTATGTATTCATGTCTTTGATCCTTGTTTGGTGAAATCAGTCTGATGTGACTCTGCCAAGAAGTGTCTTTGAAGCCAGATGTGAAAAGCTATGTTGTTTATCAGTTTATAAGGTGTAAATAGGGTTGCAGGCAGACAGGCGGGGGGAGGGGGGGGGTTAGTGCGCGGGAAGCACTGAGGTGTGACTGCTGCTGCGCTGGCCTTTCCTTCTCCAGCCAGCCAGAAGCTGCTGGGAGAAAATAATGCTGAATCAATACAAAGCAATAATATCCACACACTGCAGTGGGTATCAGGCTGGCAGAGGAAGAAGGTGTAAGAGGAAAGCGGGGTGGAGGTGAGGTGTGTGAGAAAGAGGGAGAGAGATCAACTGAAGCCGAGCAAGTTTCCATTCAGGGGAATCATTTTAGCTGAGCCTCGGTGTTTGGGCTGCTTGGAGGGCAATTAGCTTCATTGTATTAACTCAGCAAACACGGCCATTCTCTCCGCATGATGAATGAGGCTGTTTGTGGGCTCGCTGAAGTGTATGTTTGTTCCCCAGAGGCGTCTTTGTTTCCACCTTTAATCATTAGTCAACGTGCTACAGAAATATAATTCACAGGGAAGATTGTACAGTGTACAAACTGGAACAACACTTTTCCTCTTCTCTCACAAGGATCACCTTGTCTCAGCGGGCCAAAGAACAGTAGAGCAGGAAATATAAAGTGTGAACATAGAAAAAAGAAAGGAAAAACTGTTTCCGCATATAGTAGCTTTAAATGAAGTGGATTTGTCTTTGTATTATTTGGGTTAGAGACAGTGAATATCCACAAGCATTCAGCTCTCATTTTAAATTACACACATTATCCCTTTACAGCTTTAATGGTAAAATCATATGAAATGGTTTCCTAGGAGATGTTATTGTGAAAGATGGAGCCAGGGGAGTAATAACTATATTTATGCTGTCCAGGAGCAGGTGGTAATCACTGGTAGTAATGGAGTTACATGGCTTGAATTGAGCAGGAGATAACCTCAGCTAATTGTAATTTTCAAAGTTACTGTTTTTTTAGACGCTGAGCGCCGTTCATTAGTGCGCCAGGGAAAAATCAATGCAGAAATGTCCAAGCCAAGGTCTACCGCTGCAGCTACAGGAGAGCTTTAATGATATTTATTTAAACCGTTTCCCGAGATTAGCTGTCAGGGCCCGGCGCTCTGAATTAAAAATGAGGTCATGAAAAAGATGGCATCAATAACCTTGAAATAGACTGCCTTTTGCTTCAGTGCTGTGCCATTTTCTCTGTGCCCCCCCCTCCCTCTCTCTCCAACTGCCTGCACTTCATGCTGTTTCTTTCATTATACAGGTCAGCGCCTTTTAACAGCTCCTACATATTTAATCTCCCTGGTTTCCTACGTGATCTCTTGTTACAGAAACATCACATTTCACTATATCAGTGCATTTTCTCCTGATTTCTAATACCTCACCATGCCTTGGCACTCTCATTTAATTACACAACAGGGTTGGTATTGGGGGTATTGGAGTTTTGTGGGGTATCCATGGCAACAGAGAAGCAATTTAGAATAATTTGCTATTTAAAAACTGAGGTTTTGGGCAATAGCGGAGAGCGCTAGATGAGGGTTTTTTGGATTGGATCATTTCATCTTTTAAAGTATTAGATGTTTGCCAGATGTACTGTAGACTGAGGCCTTGAAATATTCTCTGGATGAAATGCAGATCTGTTTTTTCTTTCAAGACAGATGCCTGCCTGTTCCAATTTGAGTGGACTAGATGTTTTATTGATTCAGCCTTTATTCATTCCTCCTGGTATCGATGTTCCTCTGCATTCACTAAAGCCGCTCTCCTGCTATAAAAAAACATGGGTTGCTCATAATTATTAGAAAACCTTGAGCCAGTCTTCAAACTGAGTAATATGGCAGAAAATATTTCATATACTAGAAAGAGAAAGACGGCAGGAAGTCGTTTTTTAAAATACATTTCTGGTAGATTCCCAGCATCCTGCACTTGTCAGCATCTCCCTGCATTGTCCTTGCTGTATTGCAGATACATCAAATGTGGCGCATTACACTTAAGCTTGCCTTGAATAATGCTGTGGCTCAAACACAGCTTTCATTGACTCGGATCTCTTGTTCTAACGCACAGGGATTAAAGATTATCACCTTCATGTCCCCCCTGTTTTTATCCCATAGAGAGAACACAATGACAGATTTGAATGAGCAAGCAAAAATGATTCAATATTAGGAAATAAAGTAGGGGAGAAGGCAGAGATGTTGTAATATGATAACATGATATTGTCTGTCAGCATGCCTTAACACTGTAAACAATGTCTCAACATGATGTCTGCATCAAAAGCATAGCCAAATTCTTTGCATGTGCAACGTCTCGTGTACTGGATCCGGACCTCAGATTGGGTGGGAAAGCAGCCAAAGAGCAGCATGTTCTTTACACTAAAATAGAGGCAGCTATTTTAACCTCTGAGAACTACATGCTTTCCAGAAGACAAAATGCCTCATTGAGCATTCAGTGATAAAACCTCTCTCTTTTTGTTTTTGCAGCAGCAACCTAATAAATCACAATATTGGATGATTTCTTAATGCATGGAATTTAATCAAAAGGTCCGAGGTTTCTCTCCCTAGTGGCGACGAGAAATCACAAATGATGCCACAGACGTGTGACAAGCAATCGACTGAAAGAGAATCTATTCAAGTCTACTGAGATTAATAACTAGTTCAGTGTAGCAAATTATATTAATGACTCTCTTCCAGTACACTGTAGGGCAGCAAAAGGAAACATGTTGTATATTTTTGGATTTTAATACTAGAGCGTGTGTCTGTATGCGGAATAAAAGACATTTATTTTTTAAACAGTTAGCACTCACACCTGCTAAGAGGAACATTTACCGCAAGCTGCAGCAGCGGCAGCTAATGAGAGCAAACCCCGGGGGAACTGTAGAGGTCATTTTAAATCTGGTATTTTCAGACTTGACAAAGGACTTAAGTTTTTCATACATTCCTGCGCTGCCCTCCTGTTTTAACTGCATGAATGAGGGTCACCTCAAGTGGTTTGGCTTGGAGACAAAAGAGAGGCTTTGAGGCATGAATCCAAAGCAGAGCGAGCAGCTACAATGTCTGTTTATCCCTCTGCTGGCATCCTGTCCCCCTCCTTCTTCACTGCAGTGATTGTTTCCTCATTGCTGTGATGATGCTTAATCGTTGCGTTTAAATTCCATAAAGATGTGAGTTTATCTATTTTATTTTATTCCCTTTTCCTAGCAGGCTTGTAAAAGTAAGTCATTTTCTTTCCTCCAAATCTTTCTACAGCCCCGGGGGGTTGTCCACCAGCTCTTTAAATAGTTCCTTTTCCTTTTTTTTACCCGCGTGAAGCAGCTCTTGTGATCTTAACACAACACCAGTTAAAATTAATTTCAGCACGGATGGGAGGGAAATTGTTGAAATGGAACAGCCTGCAGGCTTTTTCCCACTTATTTGGTGACTTAGGCATTTCTTGGATTCTAGCACACAGCTTGTTCCTGTAACATAAAACTGAGATGAGAGCAGCACATTGCTGGTAAAGTCACCTTGTTTTTGCCAAGTTGTGTTTTTTAGGGGGAGGTGCTTTGTGTGCAATCCATTATTTCAAAGGCACAGACATGCTTAGTAGACAGTTGTTGTTTGATGTTCTGCTCAACACTCTTATCGATCTCCAGAAAGATCACACGGATATATAAATGTAATATATATTAAGCAATATTTATTTTATGTAATTACGTACACTGTGCCAATTTAACGTCTAATCTCTGAGCTGCATATTTTACTAACATGGAAAACGGTTGCTTAAACAAAAGCCTTGGTGATAAATTGGCATGAGAGGAAGTTAAGTATTTATTGACCTCATAAAAATGTTGCCTCTCCTCTTTAATGAAATTCCTTCCTGGAATCTCTCAGTGCAGCACACGCCCCCTAGTGGCTCCACCAGTACTTACACCTGGCTCTAAATCAACTAATGCAGAGGCTGCCAAGCTCAACCCTTCTCCTTCCTTGGAGGAAATTGCTACTTATATAAGTGGTATTATATTATGAGTGCTTTATTACATGATCATGACTAGCTTATATATACACTGGCTGAAATTACTCTTTCACACTGATGGCTCTGTTATGATTTGCTTTTTTAAACATAGTGTTACAAATGGAGCCCTGAAGCTTAAACCTTATTTGCTTATTCAGCCATTTCTGTACATTTACATATAACTGTAAAAGCTCTTGGAATAGAAACTCCTACTTATGGGAATAATTGTTTTTATAAGCTACAGTCATCTTATAATAATTATGCGTATAAAGCAAAACAGTCAGACGTAGGGGACTTCCTGAGACAGATTTTTTGGGTTTCTTGGCCAACACATCATCTTAGCTTTTCCATTTGGAACTATTTAAGGCTCCAGTAATTTCCCGGGCTCAGCTCTTACATTATCCGGGCCTGTGATACCCACCCCCGCCCCCCCCCCGCCCCATATTGACATTCCATTAAGTTGACCCAGGCCAAGGCAGCCGTGTTCTTTCCCACAGATCATTTTGATAGTAAACAGTGCACCCTATGGTATATAAAAGGGGCATATATACGGAATATATATATACTGTATAAACCAATTCTCTCGCCCTTTGATCCCTACTAGAACAGCTGGACACTCGCACACGATGAACACACATTTACTAGCCGGAGAAATCCAATCCACATTATAATGGTGATATATTGAATCTACCTGCTGTTCTGTGCAATATTTCCTAATAATAGAACACCTGAGAACCCTATTTGTAATAAATTGTCACCGCTGCAAGTTAAAAAGATTCTTTGTATTCTCCTTTTATGAAGGATTGTCTCCTTCATTAACATGTCATTATTCCCTCTCTCCCTCTGTCTCTCCTTCCCCCTCTTCTTCCCTTTTGCTCTCCGTCTTTCCAATAAGTCACATTTAATAGTACATTTCCTTTCTTGGCCTGGGGCCTGGTGCCAGACCAGCTGTATGAAATGTAGTTTCACCGCTTTCCCTGCCAGCACTTTTGTTCAGAGGAAAAATAACAAAAAATCCCACAGAGCCTCTTGAACTCTCGGAGGGTTTTTTTTCTTCCTTTTGAAGAGGGGGTGAAACAGCTCTTGATTCTTTGTTTGTTTTACCGCCATGTCCCTTAAAAGGAATACTGCAACCGTCTCTTGTCGTTACACGAGAAGACCTTATTTTCTCTCTTGACTGAAAAAGTCGTGTTTCTGTCTGGCTTTTATGGATTGTTATTGTAAAAAAACTTGACAAAGGAACCGGAGAGACTTTCAGAGGAGCTTATTAGAAGTTAGGAGTGTTGTAGATTTTCAGTTGTCTTGGTTTCCTTTTCCACAGCTTTTCTTATTTCTGGTGTGGTGCCAATTTCCATTTTCTTCTCCGAGCAATAAAAGTCTAAAAGTTTCCCTCACCCATGTCATTATTTTACACATGGGTATTGTTATGGTATCCAGATCTTAATGTTCCCATTGGTTATGACATCAGATACGGAAAATTGACTTGGGAAATATTCAGAAGAGAAATAACACAAGTCAAAAATAGTTTAATGTCTTTTCTTACAGGACGCTCCTTGTCACTAAATATGGACTTAATTAAGTTTGAGCATGTGCAGCGATCCTCATTTAATAATGTCAAATGGACAGTGTGTTAAAAACTGCAGGGCGCCGCAACCATCTGAAATATGTTATGACTCTCTAGTTAAGGGCTTCTGAGATAATCATATTTGTAAATTGAATTAAATATGAAAAGCTATGAGGTTCATTTTTAACAATTTGATCTGAACTCTTCCAGGCATGTTCCTCCTTTTCACTCCCAATCACATTATCTTCCCACACCCACAAACACAACACACACACACACATTCTTCCCTCACACGGTTTAACTGATATCAAATGTGATCTGTCTCAGCAGGAGATGACTGGTTACTCACCCACACACAAGGACACACACACACACACACACACACACACACACACACACACACACACACACACACACACACACACACACACACACACACACACACACACACACACACACACTCTGGCAGCAGCCTCAACCCGGATTTCCCCTAACCTAGATTAATTACAAAAGGATTGTTGGTGCCTGCCTCATATTAAAACAAGGAGGTTTAAATCAACATATTTGATCCTCTGCATGCCTGTGGCAGAACTGCAGCTCATTGTGTTTTTGGTATTACAAAACAAAATACTTATGTGGTATACCTTTTCCTTTCATGAAAAACATTATTATTTGTTGATGGTTTGTTTAGAATATACTCACTTCGCCCACGTTAGATGGGAAAATATACGGTTATATGTCAAATGACTGCTGTTTGTTTGTGTGAAAGGATATTAGTTGTGTTCCTTTCATTGTGACATGACAAAACACAACATGATCATACTAACTAATCTGCCTTCCTCTGCCTGCATTCTTCCTCAGGCTCCTCCTCCCCTATGAGAGGCAAATTAAAGGCGAGCATGACAAACCCCTCCCCTTGTCCAAACCCAAGAAGCAGGAGGGCGGCCAAGAGAAGGCGTCAGGAGCCAAATCCAAAGGAGTGGGGGCCAAGAAATTGAAAAGCCCCAACAATCCCAAGCTGGGGAGTAGAAAGGACCGGGAGGAGACGGTGAAAGACCAAGAACAATCACAGGTCAGTCACAGACTTCTCCCAGCGGCTGCCAGATCAAGATTCCTTCTCGCTCTAAATTTAATTTAATTTTGATCTCCCCGTGTTTTCTCATCATTTCTCCTCAGACTTAAATGTCCTGTTTTCCTTAAAATGACCAAATGATAAGAAAATATAGCGTCTTATTTCATCCATAACAATTATGTTCCAAAACAACTAAACTGTCAATTCTGTTTCCGAGGAAACCTATTTATTTCTGGATAACATTTTTTTTTAAACGTTTCTGATACAACTGAAATGTGTTTTTAATGAGAGGCAGGACTTTCATCCGGGAGACTGAGGTGTACTGTATGTCCCGTGTGAAACCAAAAGTCAAGGTTTTATGATATATAACTCCATCCAATCCAATCCATTTTATTTATATAGCACATTTAAAAACAACAGAGTTGAACAAAGTGCTGTACATCAACAACTGTATAAAAACATAGCATAAATACATAAAAACAGACAGGACATGAAAGAAATGTAAAACACGAGACCCAAATGTATCCATAAAGAACATGCTTATTACAGTAAAGACAAACCTCATGTTTTGTTGCCTTTCTGTTGGGTTGTTTTTATTGTACACCATTAACCGAGGTTTAAAACTGCAACCATTTTCTGTGAAAAAAGTCCTTATATAATAAATTCAGACTGAGTTATGTTACATGGGAACATAATAACATGGTTGCTTATTTCTTACATCTTGAGAAACAACTGTAACAGCTATCATTTTTCTGCACACAGGACTCCAAGGAGAAAGAAGAGAATCATGAGCTGTCGGCAGCTATAAAACAGGAAATATCTCTGAGAGATGAACCAATTGTAATAGAGGAGGAAGAGTTACATCTCACCCTCAAGAAAGAGGAGTCCTTAGGGGTGGAGCGGCCATCTTTACTGTGCCCCAAAGAGCAAGACTGCAGAGCCCCGCATCTACTCCTCCACACGGGGCCCGGGCCCCAGCCTGAATGGAGGCAAATCAGCGAAGCCCTCCAAGCAAAACTGTCCTGTGAACAGCAAAGTGAAGGGCATTTCTTTCCTAAAAACCCCTACCTACCACACCGTTGGGATCAGAACAAACCTGCTGGACATGTTGCTCTGCCCGAGCCCTCCTCCAGGGTCAAAGACTCCGTAGAAAGTCACGGTGGGAGAGTGGGGAAAGTGTTACCAATGTGTAAGCAGGCAGAGTGTATAGACTTGAGCACAGATTCCTATCCAGAGAAAGAAGACTATGGGGTCATTAGGAAGGAGTCGACCCAGACCCCCGCACAGACCGCCGCCTACTGCAAAGCCAGCCAGGGGGTCATGTCTCCTTTAGCCAAAAAGAAGCTCCTCTCCCAAGTGTGTGAGTCCAACCCTTTCTCCTTTACTACTCCTTCTCTTCAGCCTCCACCTCCCACGGCCACTTCTTCTCTCCCTGTCATATCAGTTCCTGAAAGGGAGAAGAGAAAGGGTGAGGAGGAGGTGGTGGGACAGAGGTGTGTGTCGGACAGCATCCCGGAGGTAGCGCCCATTTTCAGGCCCTCGGTCATCCAGCACGCCCAGAGCAGCAAGCCTCACCAACCAGCCTCCAGCGGGGCGTCAGAGAGGAGCGCAGCGGGGGAGAGTTACAGCTGTCGGACAAGCCATCACCTCCAGCCTTCAATGAACCCGCCGTGGCAACCCTATCTCCCCCGATGCCATGCCCAGGACGGCATGGAGAGCGCCGAGGAGAAGCTCCTGAAGTGCTCCCAGCCCCGGAGCTACACGGGCGACTGTTACTCCTCGCCTCACCTCCACAGTTTGTACAGGCAAACTGAGAACTGCCTGAGCCAGGAGAGGATGGTGGGCTTCCCCAACGGAGACCGGAGGGAGCGCTACAGCAGGGAGCACGAGGGCAGCTTTGTGGTGAGTGGGCTGGAGCAGGAGGGCTTAGCCTACAGATCTCACTACAGCGACAGGACTCAAATACACGCCGAGAGGAGAGAGGCGGACGATGAGCCCAGAGACTTTACAATCGCTAAACCTCTCTCTCAGAGGGTGTCCCCCTACTCCAAGTCCTCCTTCTGCGGCCTACCGTATCCCATCATGCACCAGGGTTTGGATTCCCACCCTAAGTCGTGCAGAGTTCCCCCAATGACCATCTCTCCCTCGAAACAGAGCCCGGCAGAGTCCTCGCAGCCGTTCCCCAGCCCCAAATCGGAGAGGGATTCGTCCCTCACCAGCCCCGTCAGACCCAGCAAGCGAAGCCACGCGGACCTGGAGAGCGAGGAGGTCCCGGAGAGGAAGGTCCGCGTGGTGACCCCCATCCACCCCACGGGGGCCATCCGACGCAGCGACCCGGAGGAGCTCAAACCAGCCGAGCCGGCCCACGCAGTTCACCTCAACAACCATCTCCCCGAGGGCCACCCAGCAACGACCTACCCCCACCACCTCTACACTGCCATGTACCCCCCCGTCAGCCTGGTCTCCCATGGCGAGCACCCGGGCCTGCAGTACCTGAAGAGCCAGTCGGCGGTGTCCCCCCTGGTGCCGCCGATGGCCTTCCACTCCATGATGCTCCACCGGCAGCTGCTGAGCGCCAGCCCCAGCCCGCACCACTTCTACCGGCACCCGGGGGGGGCGGCGCTGTACGGGGACCTGCTGCACCACCTGTACCCGCTCTCCACCCTCCACCCCCCTCAGCTGTCCTCGGTACACCCCAGCACCAGACTGTGAGGGAGAGAGATTTCTTTCTTTCTTCATCCTCAGAAAACTTTCTCAGCTTCTCTTTCTGTCTCTCTTTGCTCGGGGATTGTGGCTCAGTCGAAAAAATAAATAAACACTGATTATAAAAAACTATGGCTGATTACAGACTGATAAACTCACCATTCAGGCAGACTGAAGATTCCATTTTCTTTTTTATTTGTGTATACATTTGTTTATATACTTTGCACTGTTCTTTATTTTGTATCACCACTTACTGTATCTTTTGTTGTTGTTGTTGTTGTTGTTGTATCCTTATTTGCACAATGCTCATGTGTATGTGCTCACAAATCAGTTTGCCGCTCTCAGTCACCATGAGTCAGGTTGTTGCTCGGGATGTGTGAAAAGTGGAGGGCAACAGAGAAAAGCCATTTGTTTACTGCGTCTGAGGGCTAAACTTTTTTGCTTAAAAACACTACAAGTAACATGACAACGTAAATGAAATTCTTTATATAACTAGAGGTGCGTTCACCATCACAAAAAACGTTCAGCAGCTGTTTAGTGCATTATTACACTTTAAGCAGCCAATGGTGTTGCATTTGTTTACATGTCTCCACGCTGAACGCTGTTGCCAGTTTCTGCCACAGCAAATCCTCCTTGGCATAAACATTAACACTCATCGCGGTGCTGCATAACATGAAATGGTGTTGTCGTGACATCCAGAGGTGCTGTGTATAACAGATGTACTGTAGGCTCTCACAGTTCAGGTCTTTAGTCGTTAAATATTTCAGTCCAGATCATACAACGGCAAGCAGCTGTCAATCGGGTTGACCAATCATGAATGTTTTTTAGTTAACGTTAATGAAAAGCTTCATTTTTATTTCCTAAATTGAAATTCATTTGATCCCAAACCCCCTTGTGATGAGTGGACTGTAGCAGCTTGTGTTCCTCGTCTGTAGGACCAGCGTAATGAAGCAGCTGTGGAATGTTCACCACAAGAAATCAGCTTTTCATCTTTTTGTTGTCGAATTGAAAAGCTCTTTTTTGGTGAACAGACTCTTTTCATTCAAAGAAAAGACTCACTGTATCATTTGATAGGAATGTTGTCACTTATGATATTATTGCTTTGCAAATATCTGTGCCTTTCGCAGTCTTGAATTAGAGTTAGCACTACAGTTGTTAAGGTTTATCTTCTGTAGCAGGGTAGAAATATCAATATTACTGTCACTCGTGTCTGAACTGCAGCGCACAGACACTCATACATACAAAAACTAAACGGCACACTTGGCTTTCAGACACCAGACTTGATAGGCACAACATTTTAAGTTTTTTTAAATATAAACAGTTATGCTTTAACCTAATGGTTAGTATTGTGCTTAAATGACTCCATGTACTTAGCTGAACTGTGTCAGGCAGTCACCTATAGAAGAAAAGATTTACTTGTAGTTGATATTGACACAGGTCTGGTGTCTGTTATCCGCAGGGCGTGTGTGCTTTCGGTGTTTTCTTAGCAGTGATGAAAAGGTACAAGACTCCATAAAGTATGCCGACCACGCTGAAGCGCCTGAGGTGGAGACACAACACCTGCTCTGGCTTTTACAACCACTATAATTGCAATCCAGGATAGTCGAAATACACAGTCAAACATGTCCGGTGTTTCAAAAGAAGAAGAAAAAGAAGCTGTTAACGTCTGTGTAGAGATTTACTGAATACTTAGATAAAGATCATTTCTGATTAAGTACTGTACATTGCTGTGTGTAGGTAAAACTGGCATTAGTGCTGGTTTCTGTACAGAACATTCATATGGGATCAACTCATGACAACCCCTCTCTTGTCTTATTGTCTGTGTAAATAGCACTGTAGATAGTACCGCGTGGTTGTTATCATATAAACTGTTATAATCTGTAAATAGTATAAAAACAGTATAAAAGTCGGTTACACAATCTAGCTGTGTCCTTGTTTGCTCTGTGTCAAGGTCACCGCGATCCTGATAGATTTAAACAAACACTACAATTTAAGAATTAGGATACTCTTTATTTGTTGTCGGTTCACATTTTTTTCCACGTTGTCTCCATTATTGTGCATCCTGAAAGTGTTTTTGATACAGTAGCCATCTGTTTACCAATCACCCGGCTGGTGAGCAAGACAAAAAAATAAAATACATTTTGTATGATATGACCTCCTGTATATTTAATTAAAATATTTTACTATCTATACATGTTTCCTCCAGTTGTGTTCTTTAACTGAAGTGCAGATAACTAGCCAGGAGAGAATAAAGTGATATTTAATGCTACAGACAATGTCAATGTAATGTTCTTGTTTCCGGAGTAAATGCAGTGTGCAGCATGAATGGGGTTTTTATTATTGTAATACCATTATCTAGCTAAGAGATTCAATCCGCCTTAATGTTCACAACAGGCTACCTCTGGGCTCGCAGCCAGAGGAGCTCCTCCAGTGTTTGCTGCAGTAGAGAAATGTGCCAGTGCACGTATCTCCGTTGGATGTGTGTTGGGCTGCAATAAAAGCTACACTCTGATTTTTATTGCCACCCCCTGGTAAACCTTTACCATGAAAAATATTCAGTAATACTCCCAAGCTCAGCACAAAATAAAAGCAGCCTCACCAGGGTAGAATGTAGGCAGTTTTATTGCAGATCAGCAATAATAACAAAGAACAGTTATCTTGCAAGACATCAATGAACAGAGTGAGACAAATTGCACCTTTTGAGAAACAAAGAAATACAATATTATTTTCCATTGCACTAAACACAAATCACTCTGCACAAGATTAATGCATCTCTACTTACTAGTACATAAACAAGGCTCTATATAATTAATATGCTAACTAACATTGAGATGACGTGTAATAATTATTGTATAAAACAGATTACAGAACAATTTAATAAAAAACTATTGAAATGCATATTGTAAAAACAGTGTAAATTAATATAAAATTGGCTCAATCACAATGTTCAGTCTTGGTTTAGTCATATAGCATTTGTACATCACATGCTCTCCCTCAAGCTTAGAATCCACATGGGCAACATCACCATGGCTACAGCTAATCTGAAAAGCCACACAGACATGTTATCTTATCAACATAACTGTCAGTTACATTGGCATGTAATGTAATGTTCTTTAGTCTCATGCTTGATCTAAGTGAAGAGGGCCAAGATGTTAGGAGACGATGCAGGAAGTGCAGTATAATATATTAGTGAGGATTCTAGATTTGATCACACAGCATAAGGTTTAAAAAAACAAAACAATGCTATCCGGTTTATCCCAAAAACCATCTTTTTCCAGGTATTTACAGAACAACATCAAAGTGACTAATGTCTTGGTTATAAACACCACGCCTGGAAAGCATTTTTAACACACTGCTAATATTGAACTGCTTCCTCTTTCATACAATCCATTCTTCCTTCCTCCAAATCTACACCTCCCCCTCTTGATTAAACTGAATTTTAGAGGGTGAGATGAAAAAACAATGGATTGTAGCTTTCACAATACTTTTTCATCTGGCCAGGCGATTTCTGAGAAGTAGCTAAACCTAATGTTCTGTACACTGTATGTAATTAGGGAGAGCATTCCTCAACATGTGACCATTAAGTGGTTGAAATATTTAGTGGCTAGCCGTATTGGCTGTGTTCAAAACACAAGGGCATTCATAATTTAGGCCACTCAAAAGACTCATTCATTCGATGATGTTGTGTCTTTTATAGGCTGCAGTGTTAAATGATGTTGGACATACTGCGTAGCCACTGAAAACCAGGGTCACTTATGAAGACCTCTGGGAAATGGACCAGTCACATTAGTGCTTGCAATTGCTCCTAAAATCCTGTTCCCTTGAAAACCGCTATAGTGGTCATAAAGTTGTCACAGTAAGTGGAATAAGTCAATGCATCCAAAAAGGAATGACTGTTTCACATTTGGTCAATGGATCAATTCCAATTTGAGTGCTTTCACTAAAGCTCGTTCTTCAGTCCACGTTCCAGTGGCAGCGCTGAGGAATAAGCCTTACCATTTGAGTGGGATTGATGACGGCAGTGCTCGAGCCAACATGCAGCTTTCAATTCCATCTGTGGGTTAGCTGCAGATGAGAGAGTGTATACATGGAGAGTGGAGCTGGGGATGTATCAATACCAAATTGAAATGGTGATACGAGTTGTCAAGTGGGATTTGGGACGTCCCCCCCCCATTCCTTTGGTTAAAGCAACAGCTCGACATTTTGAGAATTAATGAGAAAGTCTATACCACTCTTTTATCAATCAGTGTTATATGAATCTGGGCTGGGAGATGGTTAGCTTAGCTTAGCATAAAACCTGAAATTAAGACTTTCTGCCAACCAGGAGCTGCACAGTTCACTATTGAACTCCATCTTGTTTATTTAATCTGTACAAAAAACATAAAAATAACTCATTTTCAATTTCAAGCTGGTTGTGTGTCGGACTATTTCTTAGCTCGGAGTCTTATCTAACCCACTCCAGTAAGTCACTGTTCCCAACAAAGAATGAATCATGCTGCAGTTTCGCCCTGTTTTAGATGTTATGATCATCTAAACTTGCTAATCTCATATTTTGTGTAAATATATAAGAGTGGTATTGATGGTCATCTCATTCTGCAATTGAGCTCATTTTCCACACAGGACCACCAACAGAGCCCAATTATCACATTATCACGGGGCGATTTTGGCGCAGTGGGTTAGAGCATTGATCATCAGATCAAGGGGCGTTGGTGAACTCCAGTTCGAAACCCGTCTCGGCCGCCACTGCGTCAGGCCGTTGTGTCCTTGGGCAAGACACTTCACCCAAATTTGCTCCTGTGGGTAATGTCCACAGTAATGACTCTTACTTGGCTAATATTATGTGTAATGTGTAATTATAAAGCGCTTTGAGCACCTGCAAAGGCGGTCTAATAAAAAAATGTGATGCATTATTATTATTATTATTGCTATTAAGGTATACTGGTATATAATGTGATTTATTTGTTATAAATAAGAATGAGCTCAGATGAAATGCTGTCCCTGTTGTTTTGGTTATTTGTATTAGTAGTAAGGTAGGGTTAATGCTGGCTATTGCCAAATGTTGACGTTACAAGGCTTTAAAGTTCATCCTCTCTCTGAACGATTTCCTCAGTTTGCTCCTGGTTGCAGGAACAGGACCGGAGCTGGGTCTGAGGAAGGCGTGTTCCCCGGCAGCCTCAGCGTGCTGGGGGTGGTGGTGGTGTTGCTCCAGCTGCTGGAGAGGAGGCGGCGCACTGTGCGGCTGTACGTCCAGGATGCCCAGTGGAGCGTATTTCCGACTTTGGGCTCCAGCTCCTCCGGCGTTGCTGCGCTGGAGCTGCTGGATGATGGCAGAGAATTTGGCATCCAGAGATGGTCTCCCAGTTTTGGACCTTGTGGTCGGGCGTGAAGTGCCGGAGTTCTCCTTCTCCTGGTGGTAGGGAGGTGGAGCGTGATGGAGAGAGGGAGGCAGGGGAGGTCTGGCAGGGCGGCTGGCAGTAGCCGGAGGTTTCCTGTCAGAGGGGGGGGGCGGGGCCCGGCGCTTCTTGCTGGATGTTTGGATGGAGGTAGAGCTGGTGTTGGGGTTGGGGTTGGGGCTTGCACAAGGGGTGGAGGTTTTGCTCTGGGACAGAACACCCTTCTGCACCACCATTGAATTGGTCCCTTCGAACAGAGTGGACCAATTAGGCGCTTCCTTCTCCTCCTCAGGACCAATAAGAAAGCGGCCATCGGTCTGCTCTATCTTGTTGTGGATCATGTCTGTGATGCTCTCAAACTTTCCGGGTGAATGTATACCTGCACGACAAACAAAATGAGAAAACAAGTAAGTAACATCAGATAGGGCAAATGTTAAATTGATGTTTTCTTGTTCCTGACTGATTAAAGAGCAGAGGGGAAATAATAACATTTGATAATTAACACATCTGCACAAAAAACAACTATTTAATTTGCACGTAAAAGGGTTTTATTTACGTGCGTCACAGCTGAAATTAAAACTATTGTGCATGGTTAATGGAACATATTTATTCCACTCAGCAGTCCAATTTGTTTCGAGCACTTGCATCATATCTTCTTTAAATAGATACATACAAATTGTGTAAAGCAGTCAGCGAGTCATCAACCTTTGTCTAACTCACTTCACTCACTCGCCCCAATTACTCTACTCACTGAGGTCGTTGTAAACAGAGTCGGCCTGCTTGGTGTGGAAGAGTGATGGTTTCCGTGGTGACGTGACCTCGATCTTCATTAGCTGGTTGCAGCAGTGCAGCCACTGGCCTGGTTGTAAACACAGAGAGGCATAAGAGACACAGATAAAGGTCGTATTATCTTTTCTTCTCTAAGTGGAGTTTAGCTAAATATAAGTGCAGCTACTTCTGTTCCACAAGCTGACTGACGTGCATGGCACCATCTCACAAACAACACACACAACCATTTTGAGAAACACTCCTGCTCTGTACACACATGTAATCAATCGAAACTTTACTTTTATACATCCACGCCAGGGTTTCCGTTTTTTAGCTGGTAACATTTAGGAAAAAACTGTAAATTCAAAGCCTGCCGGTCAAAATGTCCAGTAATAATTAGGGATGCTCCGAGCGATTGCCGGCGATCATTATCGGCCGATATTCACTCTTAATAGTTTGATCGGTGCTATATATATAAAGGCCGATCAGGAGAGCTGGATCTGATCGATATGGACATAAACGCGAGTGAAGTATAACCGGACGAGAGAGAGAGATCAGAGATCAGATCAGCTGCTGGGTCAGACGGAGACGAGAGAGAGAGAGAGAGAGAGAGAGATCAGAGATCAGATCAGCTGCTGGGTCTGACGGAGACACAGAGAGAGAGAGACACAGAGAGAGAGAGAGAGAGAGAGAGAGAGACAGAGAGAGAGGGAGAGAGAGAGAGAGAGAGATCAGAGATCAGATCAGCTGCTGGCTCAGACGGAGACTTGTTCAGATCACCTGAAGCCCCGCCCACTGTTTAGCGAGCTGCATGAGAAACTGACGGGCTGTCAGGAGAGAGAGAGAGAGAGAGAGAGAGAGAGAAAAAGAGAGGATCCGTTTCTCCCATGTTATTATTCAAAGTTAATGTAAACTTTTGAATAATGTACTTTATCTACTACAAGTAGTTTGTTTGAATGTAATAATTAGGTTGTTTGTGGAATAATGTTTGGAAAAATGAATCTGAAATGAACATGATCGACAAGTTTCAAATGTGTCCGGTAAAATTAATTATTTCCGGACACTTGACCGGCAAGAAAAAATCCTAGCGGAAACCCTGCTCCACGCATCTTTGCACATGTTTACAGAGAAACACACTCACCCTGGTCGTAGAGGTGCTGGTGCAGGGCGTCCAGCCAGTCCTCCAGCTCCTCTCTGGTTTCCGTGGTGAAGACGATGGTCTCAGAGCCCTCTGGTGAGGGGTTGATGATGGACAGGCTCCTGGACTTATGTCCTGATGACTCTTTTTCCATCACACGGACTCGAGTGTCCTGCAGAAGCATCACAGAAAACATTGATACGCTGAAAATGAGTTCCACGGTGATCAAATAAGGGTTATCTGAGATACTGCGAAACAAAGGACAGCGCTGAAATGGCAGAAAATACGTTATCCAGCAGCAAAATGCCAACGTTGCAAGCAAGATCTCAGTAAGTAGCGTGGCATTTTATATTTTGGTTGTTCTGCAAATGTTAGGGGAATCTCTGAACTGAGATTTGAATCAGTTTAAGAATGTGATGGAGGTATATTTGAATTCAAGCAACATCCTAACCCTGAAAATACCATGTCTTACCTTGTTAACGGGTACTTTGAGAGAGGGCTGCACTTTAGCATCAATTTCTTCCGGGGTGAAGTAACAGGACAGAACCCCAGCACTGAGCACACAGTAGAGACTGCAGCAGCGGTACATCCCCTCCACACTCAGCTGAAAATCGCCAGAGAAACAAAAAGTATTAAAGAAACTGAAGTATTAACCCAGGAACCAGCTATCAAGCTCAGGGTTCATACACTTTTTCACCAATGATTTTCAATGACCTCTCCATGACCTTTACCTCATTTTCCATGACCAAAACAATTACTCTCAGCGGTACCACTGAAAATGGTTTATTTTAACATGGAACAGGAAAATAAGGTCTGCATAGGAAACAGGTTGTGCCTATCTAAAACAAATCAAATAGTAGGCTTACTAGCTTCTACAGGCTAAAGCAACTCAAATCTCTCACCAGCAAAATACTTCGTCAGTTAAATGCCATTTTACGTTCATTACTATACGATACAGTATGTATTATCATTATAGTATTACTATTTTGGCGATTAGATAAAATATAAATTATATTAAATGCAACTTTAGTTACATTTCCATGACTTTTCCAAAACTTTGGGGAAAATATTGTTTTCCATAACTTTTTCCAGGGCCTGGAATTAGCATTTTGAATTTCCATGACTTTTCCAGGTTTTTAATGAACGTAAGAACCCTGCAAGCTAACAAGTAAATATACCTTCTGGTTTAGGTAGCCGCTCATCATGCTCTGTGTCATGCAGGAAGGCTGGGCCACCACCCGGCAGCAGAGGTTGCCATAAAGTGGAAGCCATGACGACGACTCGTCTGTGGGAATGACAAGCAGCATAGGTAATACAATCGATATGTTAAATCCTAATAAAATACTATATGTATTTTGTAAAGAACAAAGGTAGAATAGTTCAAATCTTGAGTGAAAATGTAAAACCACGTGATAAAATTACTTTTAGCGTTAAATGTGAAACAGATGAAAGGCTGACGTCACATCATTTCTTGTTATAAGAGCATTTACTATACCCTAGGGCTGCTCAATTAATCGTATTTTTAATCGCAATTACGATTTTGGCTCGCAACGATTATGAAAACGACATAATCGAAATAAAACGATTATTTATTTGTATTTATTAAATTATTTCTTTTATTGGTTTTTCAGTTGAATTATACTTCAAGTTCAGGGTAATCAACGGTTAAAAACATGCTGTTACATTTTTTTTTCAATAAATGGATGCTTTCAAAGTAAATCGTGATATCAATTATTGACCCAAATAATCGAGATTATGATTTTTGCCATAATCGAGCAGCCCTACTATACCTTATAAAATACACACTGGATCTGGAAACCACATCATATCAAAAGGTTTACCCCTGAAATTACAGCTAGATAATTAAAACCTGCCTCGGCACCAACTTATCCACTTAATCACTCACGCAACGGAAGAAAAGTAATCCAACGTGAACCTCAATAATAGGTTATTTGTTTAATTTTAGTTTTGCATTTTAATGGTGTTGAATTATTGTATTACTGCTTCCGAAATGATTCAAATCAGGGACTTAAAAGCGTAATCCCTTAATAACCCCAGATATTAAAATGTCTGTGCGTTTGCTTCTTACCGCCTTGGAGGACGACGAGGGAGTGCGACTGGAAGCTGCCTTCAGCGTCAGGCAGACACAGCGTGGTGTAGGCCAGCAGGCTGTACTTGGCTCCACTGGTAAACATACAAACATATATACAGAGTTTAGTATTCTTGACATATAGATCTTAAGAAAGATCTCCTTCTTCAAAGCCCCTCACAGTCCCAATGTCTCTCCTCCCACTGAACAGGTGCTGTGCATCACTTACAGATGTTCAGTTTGGGAGATAACCTTGATTATATAAAACCAGCAAAGCATGCATTTCCTCGCGGATATTTCAATAACATAGTTGAAATTGGCACAAAAAAAGTCAAATACGTGTTGTGATTTGTCAACAAACCAGATGGTGAGCCTGCAGGTACACCTTTTGTTCCAGTAACATGTCGTTTTTGATTTTGTTCCCAACTAGAACAATCTAGGAAGCCAAGAGTCTGTAAAAGGTTTGATGGGATAGCACAGTACATACGGGGGAATGGGGTTGTCCTGCAGGAAGGTGTCGGGGTCGGGGCTGTCCAGCAGAGGGCAGAGCTTCTTCCCAGCTGTCTTTCCAAAGGAGCTGCGGAGCTTCTTGGCCAGTTTCTTTGGCGTATTCACCATGGTGAGCTCATCCTCCAGGGCACAGCTCCACAGCTCCACCTTCAGCTCAAACTGAGGATCTGCATCTTTACTGTGTGAGAGCACAGAGACATTTAAACTAACAAAAACAAACACTAAAATGGAGATAAACCATGTTAATTTTTAGGATGAAAAACAAACCTAAAACCATCATTTAAGACTCATAAATAATACATGTTATTGTCCAGTAATTGTAGCCAGTTTTATCCCTGCAACACGTGTTTGTAGCAAGAAAAAACTAAAACATATTTTGAAATTCAAGAAAAACTAGCAGCCACATGTCGTGAATATAACCGTAAAATACAATGTCTTCCTCCAGCATTGTAAACCAGCCCGTAAAGGGAATTTCCAAAAGGTAAGTACAGCTGAACAAGGTGTATTAATACTGTGTTTTGAATATGTAAAGTAAGAACTCACAAGACAGTGACTCCCTCAAAGCAGATGTCAGTGACTGATCTGTCCACCACTATCATTTCTGTGGCAAACACCTCTGAGCCCATCTGCATCAGACAGAACAACGCCACTCGACGGGAGCCTGATAAACAGAAGGGATGTGTGTGTGTTAGTGCAGCAAGTATCCACAGATGAACACGAGGCTTAACAGAACAGGGGGATTGGATGTTGGCAAAACAAAGACAAACGTACTCCCTCTGTTGTTAAAGTAGGCTGAGTCCCTCCACATCAAAGGAAGGCGCAGCCCTGAATCAGCAGAGGATAAAAGTGAATAAACGAAGCATGACGTTTTAAAGTTAATTTGTTCTATGTACATTTTTGGGTAATTTTTCGTGCACACAGACTCTCCCGATTTAAATCATCTTGCACAAAGGGGATCAATCCTACCAGACATTGCAATTGTCCCATTGCAGGGCACACGGTCAACTGAAACTGGATCTGAAAATCTGGGGGGAAAAGCAAAATGTACCATTATAATGGATCACAACATAAGTCAATAGATGAGAGTAACACACTTCCGGGCAAAAAGTATGGCTCCGCCCACTTTTGAAAAAAAAACAACGTAATTTGAATGGAGGTCAATGTAAATTCTGAAGTTTTTGCCAATCCGATCAGAAATGTAAGAAAACCGTGGATTTTTACGGATCTTCAAAGAGCCTGATTACGATGACCAGACAGGCAAATAATTACATTAAATCATAGGAAATCGACAATCTGGCTTGATACATGGTTAAATATAGCAGTAGGCTATCGCAGGGGTTCCCAAACTTTGCCATGCCAAGGACCCCCATATAGCATTATCCTCTGGCGGGGACCCCCCTGTTGCAATTTTTTTTTTTTTAAATGATGAGTACATTATGATGGAAAATATGACAAATTAATCATACAGCTTAATACATTTTCTTAATATATATATTTGTATTAATAATTAATAATCAGTTATTCTTCTAAAATACATTTGTATTTATCTTTTGTTTGTCATTCATTTCATTGATTGCGTCTTCTGTTATAAACATTCTTAACACAATATTAAACAGTAAACTTATTTTTAAAGCATTTTTAAAGTGATTTCTGTCTTTATAATATTATATAATTTTGAACAGTAATATGAACAATTAACATATATATTTAGCATTTTTGAAAGATATTTATATATAATATTCAACAGTAATATTAACAATAAACATATTTATATTCATATAAACAACAATATTTGCTACATCCGTGCTCTCATCCAGCTGCAGAAATATTCACTAGTAGCGGCAGCTCGATTCTGATTGGCTTGAAGGGCAATCGTGTGATTTAAAAAATAAATAATAATAATTAATAAATACAAAATATTAAAAGATTGGCATCAAAGGACACATAGATTGATATATATGCAGTTATTAATAACATCACAAAAAAAAAAAAAAATGTAACTTTAAAAAAATAAAAAAATTCCCCTTTCCCTCAAACTTTGCGTGACCCCACTGGCGCCCCTGGCGGCCCCACGGGGGGACGGGGCCCCCACTTTGAAAAACACTGGGCTATCAATGTCCATGGATGAGAGTAACATCTACGTCACTTTACGGCTCCGCCCACTTTTGAGGGAAACCAACGCTGTCATTTGAATGGCGATCAAGCCTGAAGCCAGAGATCTTCTTTTACTGTCCTTTTTCTTACAGGAAGTACAGAAACACGTAACTCTGGATTTGTTTTTAATGTTTGAGGTGCAATAAACGACACAGCAGGTTGTTGGCATGATAAAACTATTATTTTCCCCCTTGCTCATGAGTATCAGCCGGCAAAATTACAGCCTTGCCTACTGATTTTAATTTAACCATATGTCGAGCTCGATCGTCGATTTCAAATGATTTAATGTAATTGTTTGCCTGACTGGCCATCGTAATCGGGCTCTTTGAAGATCCAAAAATCCACCGTTTTCTTAAATTTCTGATCGGATTGGCAAAAACTTCAGAATTGGTATTGACCGCCATTCAAAATGACAGCGTTGTTTTCCCACAAAAGTGGGCGGGGCCGTAATTTTCGCCCGGAAGTGACGTAGGTGTTACTGTCATCTATACATTACATTTTAAAACCCTCTTTTCAGAACCGATTTGTGGATTACTTAAATCCTTGCTTGTATTTTTCACTAATTTCCTACTGATTTGATTTCTCCATTGAAGTTGAGATTTCTAAATATATTACAGTCCGATCTATGTCTTTATTTATAGATAGATAGTATATGCTGAAACTGAACTCCAGGGATTGCAACTTAAAAACTTGAATTGAATCTTTATACTTGTGGAAACAGTAATCCCCCAATTCCGTACCCCATGTCCTGCTCCCCTTTCTTCCTCTGCAGCTGTGAGACATAAGCCTTGATCCTGGCGTTACAGGTCAGCAGGTTCTTGGAGGCGTTGAGAACCTGCTCTCTCTTACTGCAGGCGAGAAGCAGCTTGTAGGCTCCCTCCCGCATTCGCATCTCAAACTCAAGCTTTTCTTGGATGTTGGTGTTCTTCATGGACAAAACAAACAGAGGAGAAAGTTCAATTCAGTTAGAGGAAAGTAGCGCTTGAATGTTGTTTGGCAAGAGAGAAACAAGTGTCAAAGGTTTTATATAACTCACAGTAATGTGCAAACATGTCATATACACAAACAAGAACTCGTAAAGACTGCAACCTCTTTCAGGTTCTACGGTGCACGTAACCTTGTGAAAGGAGTTGTTTTGTTGGCAAAGACGGCACAGTGATTTGCGGCACAAAAAAAATGTGCACTGTCTTACTGGCACAATCAGAGCTAAAGCTTTCAGAGTTCATTGTGAAAGACAGATATACGACGACTAAATAATACTTTCAGGGAATGTGATCTTCTAACGTTGCTTGAAGCTATCCCTACAATCCATTTTACAATGATATATAAAGCTGTCAAACTTGTGGCAGTGAAGCCAACATCTTTTCATCACTCAAGAGCAAATATTTCTGGCAGAGTATAAGGTTAAATGATGCATTTAGAAGGGAAGAGGAGTGGTTAGTTTCATGATATGCTAGATAGAGGGAGACACTAACAATGAGTATGTGAATGTATGTGGATCATATGCACTTAGGATGGCAATGATGCAGAATGGAAATATATGAATGGCATGTTACAAGGAGAGAGTGGCAGGAAAATATATTAATTTAGTTAAACTAGGTGTACACTTACTAAATGGAGTATGATGATGTTGTTTTTTTTATAATCTGGTCTACATTATTCTCATTTCAAAATACCATCTTCTTTATCATTTGGTAAGGTAATTCGGTCTTGATGGGTTTTAAAATAATCAAGTTCTGATGCATGTTTTTAAGGATACAGACACCATCTTTCTCCATACTGTAGGACATCTAAAATATGCACCTGTAGCTTCTTAGAAACCGACAACAAATTAACATCCTCTCTACTATGTGCTGAGGGTCAATTAGAAGGCTCATGTCTCATGCTTCTGGTCTGAAATGACATTAGTTTGAGCTGTGTTAGAGCAAAGAGTAGAGCACCTTTTGTGCACAACATTAGACAATGCAGAGAGCACATGGCTCTGGTTTCAGGGAACAGAAAACGTTAAAAGGGGAGGCTCCCCTGTTGGACAATGATGACTGCTGGCCCGTCAAACCAGCTTTGTCCCAGGGAACTGAAACAGTGGGCGATGGTGACATTTAGGGATGCTTTTCCAGTACTGGTTAACTTATAATGAGCAAAACATTCCGGTCTAAACATAACGTAAAATACAATTCGGCTATCAATTTGAAAACAGCAAAACATAATTTGGGATTAATAATTTGATTTATCGAAAATATTTCACACACAAATGTTGTCATTATTGCTTCACTAAATGACATGAAATGATTTACAAAATATAAGTATAATGTTTGGTTTTTGTTTTCTGAGTTCTGTTCATTGTGCACTCAGTTTTGAATTAATGTATGCCTTTTTCTGATGTTTTGGATTAATTGCTCAATAAAGTTGGGTAAAAAAATAGTGTGTGATAGTGTGTAGCAGCCTATGCTTGAGGAAAACGATAGAATATTTAAGTCGTTTTTTTAAAGTTATTTAAGCACAGCCAACCAAAAAGCTAGTTAGTTATTACTGAAGCAGACTAAGCAAAAATGACCCGCATATATTAACCTGTTAACGTTAGTTTTGGTGCACTTTGCCCCCTGTAACCGAAATGTTACTTTGATTCAGTGTTGACGGCTTAACAAAAAATGCCACTCTATAAACGTTATCCCTTCGCCCCTACATACCTCAGTTTGCAGGAATAATGTACTCTGTCGTATTTTCTTTCGTTTAATCTCCATAGCCACAGCGGAACCGGCTGATAAAACCGACCTGGAGCTACCGTTTCGTTTGGAGGTTTGAACATCCCGCTGGTCGTCCATGTTTCCGTCCGTTCGCTAGCAACAGTAGCATGAGCGCATTCCTGCTCCAACTGCCGACGCCCCTCCAACAGACAGGGGAGTTCGAATTGTGACACGTCTTCTCCCGCTATCAGGACATTATCAGATAAATACCAATTAAGTGCTGCAAAAGTTACATTTATATACACTGATTACAAGTATTTCAACTATTTTGGTGAGTTTAAATGTAATACGGATTAAGTGATGCATTACCCATGATGTTTAAACTAAAATGACGTTCACTTCTAATAAGTACACAACAGATCTTAAAAAAAGAGACCCAAATGTCAATGCAGAATTTAATGTAATCGTGGTGGTAAAAAACACGGAATTAGCAAAAATTGCAACATGTTATAAAATTACACAGCTCAGATTAATTTCTAAAATAAGTAGAAAAACAACGCTCCATCTTTCCAACCGGCACGTACGAGGACTTAAATCGAGTGCACTCGCTTCGACAGGGAGCCTACGTCACTGTGCCAGACGAATGACAGGAATACAACGTTTTCGATTTTGAATTGTTTAGGATGTTAAAAAAAGCAGAACTAATCTAAATGTAAATGTGCAATACATCTTCGGGATCATAAAAAACGTGTTATTCTTAGTTTCATGTTGCTGGTTTTCCTAAGTATGCTGCCTGTAGTTAACGTTACATGCAAAGAAAAAAATACACCTGCACATCTTTTCATTAAGCCGTCTCTCTTCAGATGTCATTGGGTTTCATTATGTATTTGCATAACATATTTAAAAACAGCAACATAGAATATAATTTTTAATAGTGATATAAAAATCCATGCAAATAAGTATTGAAGGGGTGGCTTTTATGTTCTTGTTTTGCAACATCCTAATTTTGCTTAATAGTTTCTGTAGTTGTTTGGTTCCAGGCAGGGCATCTTCGTCCATTTACGCTGTGCATCATGCATCAGGCACTGCCTTTAATAATATAATATTGCCAGCTGCGCAGCCCAGCTGATGGTACGGTAAAATGAAGACCCTGAAACGTGACCCGGGAGTCCAGGAAACCCGCCCACCCGGTTCTGGCTGCCATGCTTCTGGTCGAGTTGGAAGCATCAATGGTTGGAAGTGTAGACGCAGGCGCTTACAGGATGAACTGAGTCAAGCTTGCCCTGCTAGCCAGACACATAAACACAAATCCCGGAAATGTGAAAACTGCTTTCAAAATAAACTGCTTGCTTGGTTAAAAATGAGACAAGATGCATATGTATTCGCCATATCCGGTCTTTGCACAGTGATGCCAACTACTTTCACATATGTAGGGCATTGTCTTAGCCAAAAGCTTTAGTCTGCAGCTTGTATTCATTGTTTATAATGTACCATGATAGGAAGTATTGCAGCTGAAGCTCACACTAACTTGGCATATTTCCCTTTTAATATGGTATTAAGACAAATGAATTCAGGTTGACAACAATTTATGTTTTACTTCAGCTACATTAATAACATATTTTCTTAGGGGTTCATGGTAACATTAACACACTTTGTGCAGTATTGCATTTATGGCAAAAATATGTATATTGATTTTAAATTATATCTCTTTTCCTTTTAGAATAAAGTTTACTTTTTTTTTATTGCGGTAAGTTGAACCACATTTTTGCAAAATCACATGATAAATTGTGCATATGGTTGCATATTCAAAGGGATCCTTTCAGTCTCAATATAAATTAATTCACATCGTTTTTTTAAAACCCAAACATACAAACATTTGTTTTACAATTAAATATTTTTAGTTTTAAATATATGTAATAGAAATCCAAAAACTAGTACAACCAACGGGTGATGAGTCGGCCTTCATAGAATATAATTGCAATCATAGTTTTCCTACAATATATCAAATGCAAGAAAAAGGCATCACCTTTGTCTTTTTCCAGTCTTAAACGTCATACGTTCCAAATATTGAACTTTTTAAATTATGACTACCCATTGGCAGAGGTGGGAGCTAAGTACATTTAGTCAAGTACTGTAGCTACTCACTTCAATTTTGAAATACTTATACAGTACTTTAATTGAGTATTTCCATTTTATGCTACTTTGTACTTCTACTCCACTACAATTCAGAGGTAAATGGTGTACTTTTACTCCACTACATGTACCTTACTACTTGAGTAACATTTTGAATACAGGACTTTTACTTATAACAGAGTATTACACTCTGGTACTTCTACGTTTACTCAAGTACAAGATTTGAGTACTTCTTCCACCTCTGCCCATTGGTCTATAGTGTGAGGCTCTTTACAAAGTCATCGCTTTGTTATGACCTTTTTACTCGCTGTCATAAGGATTTAAAAATATATTGGTCATTTTTGGGTAATTCAGAGTTCATATTCTCCATGTAAAAGGAAAGACTGGTGACATTTACACTATCACTTACAACCTACAGCATATACCTTGTGATCCTATCTGTTTTGACGTTTGCTTTGGTGTTATACAACGTCTAAGTTCCTCCACAGTTGTGAGGCTGTGGTAGTGATTTGTGTTTTTATTATAACCCTGTCCATTCCTACTTTTTTATTTATTTTGAAAGGTTTTACCGGAAGTGATTGTTACCTCCGCCGCTTTGACGCGTCTTTCAGGATGTTGGTCCGCTCGCCGCTTCTTCGCAGGGAGAAGCGTATCGCTGAGCAACGCAGGGAGATAAGGCCGACGCACAGAGCCAGACGAGCTGCTGCAGCAGGGCTGGGCTCCTCTCACACACACACGCGCACACACACACACCTTCAACTGAAACACACAGCAGAAAGGAAAAGGGTAAGTGAGCTGTTGACTGCACTTTTATTTATCGAACAGTAGCTAACGTTGGGCTTTAAGCTAGGTGGTCGACCGTTATAAGTTGGAGAAAAACCCCAGAAAGAGTAGGTTTTCTGCTTTTGTGCTGTCCCGTCTATTGATGTCCATTTGGGGTTTTCCATGTTAATACACAATAACTGAAGCAAATTTTGGAGCTTCTTAAAATTAAAACAATAAACATAGATTCAGTTTGAATGTCTGCAATGTAATAAACAGTTAGGGCATTACTCGTTTATAGCGGATAAACACACTGGTCTGACTCCCTGTTGGCTAACTGGATGGCTACTGTTGTCGGCAGCAGCAGCATGACCAGTCTGCCCTGCTCCGCCTTTGTAAAAAAAAAACACACAGCCTCGCCACTTTTATGCCTTTATAAAAACACCGGGCAGGCACGTTTACCGTCTATCCTACTGTGATACGGTATTGAGTTGTTGTTTTTCTATTAGTGGCATCCTTCTATAAAAAGCACGGAGGCTACCGAGACAGGATGCACATCAATGAAGGTCGGTTACAGTGAACGCTTTGTGGATACGTATTAACCGCGGGCTCCTCTATGAGGCTATTTATGTTCTCTGGAGGGTTTATTATACAAGTAAGAAGGTTTTTCACAATTGTAATGTAGCTGAAGAGTGTTCTTCGATGCTGGACCCCCCTCCTCTTCTTCTGTGAGGGGGCTTTGTTTTCGTGGGGCAGATGTAGCCGGCCTGCATGCATCCGCTTCCTTTGTGTTGAGTTTGATTTAGCTGTCATCCTCACACAAGATGTACAAACTTGGGGGAAAAGCTAAAAGACGTGCTTCATATCTGAATTACAGTTTCTTCAGTTACACATTCTAAAATAACAGTACGAAGTGTTTTTTGTGCCTTTTACAGACAATTGTATGCACATCTTAATTGAGTTATTATTGTCTTATCATCAGGCTTAACATACTTTTGAATGCATGGTAATGTCTGCTAAAATGCTTGAAGAGGCATGGCAAATAACAAAGTTACACAGCTGTTCAAAGCGTTTGAAAGCGTTTTATTCTTCAGTATTTCTCTTTATTGCATCTATACATGTTAAAGGTACTAGAAGTGTGCACTCCAAGTCTGGGTTTTTGAAACAATTACACTATGGGCTGCATGTCAGTGAGTCTTGTCTCCTCCTCCTTCAGCTGTACGAATTCAAATGTTTTGGGTTTGAGCCATAGAATGTGCAGATAATACCAACCAGTCCAGCGCCGCTCCATTTCTTTTCTCCCATTCACTCTGCCATTTTCCGCCTCCTCCCTGTTCTCTTCTCCCGCAGATGTGGACGCTGGCAGGCTGGTTGGCTCCACAGGCAGTTGCATTTTTAAAAACTGTGTCAGTGTCACAGGACGGTTGCTGCACTCTGTCCTAGCTAGACTGCAGCAACGTCCTAGCTAGACTGCAGCACAGCCTGCCTCCATACATGTCCCTTTACACAGCTACAGTGCAGATAACATTGACAACCATGCTAATAGGTCATACTTTGACTATGACCTTTGAGTAGACAAAATAAGTTCAATAGCACTTTTAATCCTTTAAATCCTTTTCCAGAATCACCCTACTTTAAGTGTTTCCTGTTCAGTATCATGATTCTGCGCCAATGTGCAATTAACATGCATAGTTAATGTTTCCTTCAATAATATGACCCTTTTTTCATTTCTAGCCTTTAGTTGGGTTTGAGGAGAGTGTTGTTTGTCCTGCCCACGGCCATTGTGTATAGTTGGAATTTTAGGAAGTGAGTTCATTTTACTTCAGTGTTCAGGGAGTGCTATTTGTGACTGAAACAACCTAGCCTGGAACTGAATTCTATCATCTAATCCATTCTGTTTAACTTGTTTTAAACCGTTTTTTGTACCAGGGTTACTGTGGCTAAAAATAGCAGTGAATCTCACTTCTGTACTCTGCCAGAGGAGAAACTTTAAAAGGGTTATGAGAGTCAAATAGATTTGCCTGGTGAAGCTCCGGCTTGTGTGCAGAGTCACAGAGAGAAACAAGGGAGGGGATCAGACGGAGAGAAAATAGCAGAAAACAAGAAAAACGCATGAAGTAATTGATATAATAATCATCAGCCTCCACCCTTGTTATGGAACATGATGGGTGTGTCTGCTTTCTTTCCTGCATTCAGTTCATTTCTAAAAATGAAAAGTAAAATAGAGTGACCTTCGCAGCTGGT